ACAGTGTCCTTTGTGACCCCCGAGATCCTGTGGCCTGCAGAGCCTGAAATACCGATTTTCTGGGGCTGCTGCCCCCTGAGCCAAGTCCACACGCAGAGACCGTCCAGGCCCCAGGCTGGAAGGCGCCGGCCTCGGTCTCCACCTGCACCGAGCAGCCTCCCTCTCCGGGGATTGGACGCGCCCGCAGAAGGTGCTGCTTCCAGCCCAAGTGCGGCCGCGCAGACACGCCAGTCAGGGCACACACGTTCCCGACACCCGCTGGTGACAGGCCGTCAGGCGGGGAGACCGAGACGTGGCCCTGGTCTTCACGGGCGTCCCCGTCCTCCCATAAAGACACAGAAGTCGGTCCCCCGGAGCCCGGCTACGGCCTGGACGCTGGGCAGAGAGGGACGATAGCTCCAGCTCCAGAGGAGGGACCCGGATCACGTTGCTGAACCGCTCGGAGTGCTGGGTCCGTCCGCGCCAGTGAGCACGGTTGTGAGCCAGTGGTTATGGCGGTGGGGCTCGTTCTTTATTTTAGAACATAATTGCTGGGTTCAGTGAGGTGACAATGACAGGGTCCCAGCGACACGCAGACACAGACACACAGAGATACAGACAGACACGCAGACACACAAGCACGGGTCTGGGCACGCCAACAGCACTGCACAACGACCCATGGCATGAGCGTGTACAGGAGCACAGCTGGGTCGGGATGGGGGTGTGCTGCGGTCACTACAGGAGCGAGCCTGTAGGCAAGAGCGGGGTCCCGCGTCAAGCCCGCTGACGGCGCGGGCAGAGCAAGAAGGACCTGCCACGGACGCTGGGGCCTCTGGGCAGAGTGGCGGCTCTGGAAGGAGCTGGTGTGGGGCTCTGACTGGGGGCAGGGGTCCCTCGCACGGGCGGGCCGTGGCAGGGTGTGTGCTAATCCGTCCAGTCCCGTTCCCCTGGCTCCACCTGCCCTGGGCGGACTCCGGATGCGTTTCCCGTTGCCCACTCATGCCAGGCGGCCTCGCGACCAGCCCCAGGCCCGCATCTGTGCCCTCGGCCCCGTTTCCCCTGTGAGGAGACTGAGGTTCCCAGAAACCAAGCAGGCAGCCCAAGGTCACAGGCAGTCCAGGGTCTCAGGCGACGAGGGGCCGGGGGCCGGCACCTCCGAGGGCTGATTGCATCAGACCCGTGCACGGACATCGGTAGCGGATCCAGATGAGGTAAGACCTGGCAGAGCCGAGCACATTTTCTTCTGACAGCAGGAAAAGTACAGCGGGTCCCGGTGAGTCAGTCAAGGCCGGTGTGCTGTTCCCTCCCTCCCCGCGCGGCCCCTTCCCGGGTCTCCGCGGACAGCCTGGGCCCCTCACATTGGCCGGCCTCCCCTGCCCTCATGCGCTGAAACCTCTCCCTGGGACGGCGGCCTCCCAGCAGCTGTGTCCTCGGCCGCTTTCTCACGCCACACACGCGCGTTTCACTGTCGGGGCCCCGCGAGGACCGCCACAGGACTGGGCTCCCTTCTCCCTGGGAACGTGGGCCTCCAGCCCTGCCTTCCCTGGGAGTCGTGTCAGTCAACCCTCTCCAGAGAGCAGAGCCGACAGATGAAGACATAAATATGGGCAGCCACGTCTTCGAAAGAGGAGCCTCGTTCAGTCGTGGGGGCCGGCGAGTCCAGACCTTGCACGGCTGCCCGAGACCCAGGAGACCCGACGGGGCCGGCAAGTGCAGGAGGCTGTCTGCGGGGGAATGCCTCTGGCGGGGGAGTTAGTCTTTCTTCTATCCAGGCCTTCGGCTGATTGGATGAGGCCCACCCACACCACGGAGGACTCTGCTTTACTCAGAGTCCACGGTTTTAAATGTTCGTCTCCCCAGATGCCCAACCAGCTGACGTGCTAAAGTAACCCTCACAGAATTGTTGACGTTTGTCTCGTGATGTTCAAAACGAGACTTTTCGGGGCACCTGGGTGGCTCAGTGGGTTAAAGCCTCTGCCTTCGGCTCAGGTCATGGTCCCAGGGTCCTGGGATCGAGCCCCGCATCCGGCTCTCTGCTCTGCGGGGAGCCTGCTTCCTCCTCTCTCTGTCTGCCTCTCTGCCTGCTTGTGATCTCTGTCTGTCAAATAAATAAAATCTTTAAAAAAAAAAAAAAAGAAACTTTTCAACATGACATTCAGCTCAAAGGTCAGGCTTGGCCAGAGAGAGAGGGAAGAGTATGGAGAACCACGTCCGGGACACTAGACCGTGGTCCTCACTCAGGCCCGTGCATGCTTGGGCAGGGAGGAGGACTGACTCCGGAGGCCGAGGGAGCAGCCTCCCTGCGTGGACGTGGATGCAGATAGGGCCTCCTGCTCGAGGCCTCGGCCTCGGAAGAACTTGGACGCAGGTGCGTGCTGCGCGGCAGGGAGACAGTGTGGCGGCTACTGAGCTGTGCCCACGCGTGGACGTGGCTCAGAGGGTAAATGTCACGTCACGTGTATTTTAACAGTAAAAACATGTGTTAAGGGAAGCTTTACGGAGGCGCCCACGGGTACAGTGAGCTACACTTAAAGTGTGTAATTTTACGAACTTTGACACGTTTTCACCCATGAAACCATCAGCGTGACCAGGGAAGGGAGGCACCATCACCCCAAAGGCTCCTCGTGCCCTTGGTCGCCGTCCTCCCGCCGCCCGGCCCCCCAGCCGGCCTGCCCGCCGGTCCTCCTGCCAGCGCGCGCTGCAGGTTTCAGAGACGTGGGGTCGTTGAACACGGTGGTTCTTTGCTCCGTCGCCTCGAGGCACACGGCGGGCTGGATCCGGGCACATCCAGGTCCGGCTGCTGCGAGGAAGCGGCCCTCACGGTGGCGGGAGCCTCTTGGTCACAGCCCCCATGTCTCTCTGTCACACCCGGGGCGGGAGTCCGGTCCCCGGGAAGGTGCTCGCTCCCGCGGCTGAGAACCCCCAACCGTCCTCCGAAGCAGCTGTTTCCCTGCACGTCCCAGCCCCAAGCCGGCCGTGCCCCCACCTGTCGCCCATGGGGGCGGGAGCCCGTCCTGGCAGCCGCGGCGCTCCGGGGTGAGGACGCGCTGTAGCCCAAGCTCTCCGGACGCGCATCTCCTCACGCGCTCCTTTCCCATCTGCACGTTTCAGTGAGGGGACTGTTCATTTGTCCCCGATTTTAAATCCGGACGTTTTCCTCCATTGGAGCTGCCGCAGTTATTTTTACATCCTGGACGCGAGCCCTCTCAGCTTGCAAATGCCCCTCATCTGTGCTCGTCTTTCCCTCCCCTGCGCTGTCTTCCGAGGCGCTGAGGCTGCAGGTTTAATTCCGGCGGCGGCTAATTGATGGGCTTGTTCTACGGACCGTGACTCCGGCGCTGCGTCCGGAAGCCTGGCACCGGCCAGGGCACAGAGGCCGCCGCTGACATTTCGTTCAGGGGCTTCTAGCGTCTTGCCGCGCTCCCCGACCTGACACCGCTCCGCCTCCATGGACCTCGCAAGCGGAGATGTTCACTGTATCTTTCGGCAAGCGAGCATCCCATGTCCTTTCGCCACTGGACTCGCACGGCAGCGCTGCTGAGCTCGCCCACCCTCCGCGGTCTCGCCCGCGCCTGCGTTTCTCTCCTGAGGGCGACTCGGCCCATCCGAGCTGCTGCAGCCCCACGGACATGGGCCCCTCTGCCTTTCCGCTTCCTCTTCCCAGAGTGCTTTTTTCTCTCTAGGTCCATCGCGTGCCCACGACCTCCGGGGACTGCGCAACCAGAGGCAGAGTTTCACGGAGAAACAGAGCTCCCGCCGGCCGGCCGCCGGCGCCGCGGCGGGTTGTGACCAGGGACAAGATGCGTGACTCCGGGCACTTGAGTCGACGTCCTGTTCTGTCCGCAGAGCCTTGTGCTTCTTACTGAACGGGTCTCACACCTTTTGTCTGACTCATTCCTCAAGACTTCAGATTTTCCTCTAATTTTAATGTTTTTTTTCCTCAGTTTCAGTCGTTAATGGGCGGAATACAGAGATGCACTTGACGTTGACAGCTCTGTGGAGATGCTCCACGTACCACGGCAAGGACCCACTGACGGCGGAAGCCGGTGGTTTTCGGTGTGTTTGCGGGAGTGCACCTATCCCCATCTCATGATGCAACTCTGGAACATTCTCATGACCCCCTGAGCTGGCACTCCCCGTGGCTCCCACCCGATGACCCCACTGGCTAAGCCACCACCAGTCTGCTTCCGGTCCCCACACACCGGCAGACCCCGGGCGCTCGGCGGCAGTAAAATCTGGGGACTTCCACGTCTGGCATCTCTCACTGAGCGATGTCTTCAAGGTCCATCCGGGCTGTGACCCTCAGGGCTCAGGCCATCGCTCCTTTGGTGGCTGAGGGATATTCACTGTGTGGACAGCGCGTCTGGCTCACGTGTCTGCCAGCTGCTGGGCGTTTGGGTTATTCCCACGGTTTGGTTGCTACAAACAACGTGAACTGTGAACGCTTGGACACAGTCTTGGGTCTCTCGGTGTGCACAGGACCGGGACTGCCAGGCACCGGGGGGCCTGCCAAACTGGTTTCCAAAGTCCCCGCACAGTCTTACAGTCCCAGCGACAACGTACGGGTTCCCATGTGGCCACGTCCCTGAAGACACGTCCTGGGCTCCCACCTGCTGAAGCCGGTGCTTCCGTGTCTGTGAGGCTGGTCTGTGGCCGTCTGCTCTGGGTACGAGAGTGATTCCAGCTCCCAGAAGTGCTCCCGCTTTCCCTGGGTGAGCCGTGGGGAGGCTACACCGCGTCTCTGCTGAAGGGGCCGGGACCCCGCTGTGGGGCATCCGGTCCCTGCTTCTCCCCGTCAGGAGACGTGTGACGACAAACACCATTTCCTGAGCAGACATCGGGCCGTTTGCTTTATCCATTTCGCCCGTGGAGAGCTTCGACGGGTTTTGTGTCTTTTAGGAAATTTGTCCCTGACACTGAAACCGTCAAATCCATTGACATAAAGTTGTTCGTAAGATGCCTCGTTCCCCGCTGCAGTGCCATGACCACGCCCTCCGGATTCTCTCTCTTTCCTCTGTTGATTAGACCAGGAAGGGAAGCCTCAGTGTCGGCGACTTTCTCGAATTCCGAGAGATGAGGGATCCGGGTAGAGCCCGCGGCAGGGTAAGCTGCGCAGCCCCCAGAACCTCGGGGGACCGCTGGGCGCCGCTATCCTGGACACGCTGCTGGGCGCCCTGCATGCACGGAGCTCCCGAAATCCGCCTCATGTTCTGGGTTAGTGTCCCGAGGGGCACCTCCCCACGCCAGTCCTGCCGGGAAGACGCTGATCCTGGGGCAGGAGGTGAGGACCCAGAGGAGTTGCTCAGGAGGGGTTCGTCTAGACTCTTGGCCCCGTGTCAGACGTGGGCTCATGGGCGTCCTGCTGGGGAATGCCACGCACTGCCGCGGGGTCAAGACGAAAACAGGCGGGAGTGCCAACATGCGCAGAAGTCAGCATTACCGCACCGAGCTCAGCATTCCTCTTCTGAATCATCTGGATCCAGGATACGCACGGACACGGCTCCCCATTTTGTGACTGTGGGCTCCGTGCACCGATTTCCCCAGACTGAGATGGCAGGTGCTCCCAAGGGGATTCAAGCCTCCGCTTCTTGGGGGACAGGAAACTAACTGCTCCTGGCTCGGAGCCGCCAGCTTTCTCGGATTTTTCCCGAATGCGCTCTGAAAATACTTAGGCCCTAAGTGTCTGTCGGGCACCCTTTGCACCTGCCCCACTGCACCGGGCCCTTTGCACCGGGTCCCACACTCTCGGGGGGCGGCTCCAGATGCCGCCGCTGCTGGTGCTGCTGTGGGCAAGGGGGGGTCTTCATTTGGTGATTCTTCAAATGACCCGTGCTGGGACACAAAGCCACTCCCCCCGGCCCTCGCTGTGCACTGTGGGCGGACCGGCAGCCCTTCTGTGGCAGCAGGGGACGCTGCCCAGGGCCTGTGGGTAGATGCTGTGGAGCAGTCGGGGCGGGTCAGCTGCAGGTGGGGAAACGGAGAGGAGGCCCTGTGGGTGGGGAACATGTGTGTGCGGCTGAGCCCAGCCCGGGCCTCCTGGACACCGTCCTGACCGCAGGCCTCCCAGAGAACCCGTCCCTTACCACCTGTGTCCTGTGCAAGAGTTCCAGGAGTCACTCATGCCCGTTGTTATGAAGTGATTGCTGAGGCCCGTTTCCAACTTACAACAGGATGGACCTACCCACTTACGCCCACGGACCACAGAGGCCTCTCTGGTTCTAGAGGCTGAACAAGAGAAGGGCTTCATACCAGCAGCCCTCGGGCAGCGGACATGTGCAGGGAAGGGAATCAGGTCACTGGGTCCCCATCTCCATGGTGACAGGCAGCGTCTTCTGAACCAGATGTCCAGTGGCACCGTCCTGTGTTGTGGCCTTAGACGGAGGCTGTTGTGCTCCGGAGTCTCCCGTGCCCCAACCACATGGCGAGGCCGCGCTTCCCACCAGCTTCTCAAATCCTCCGCCGGCGGGAGGCTCCCCAGCAGGGCTGAAGACCCCTTAGCCCAGCACTGGGGTCCTCCCCCAGGCCCCAGCCTTTGCCTCTCTGCCACCCCAAGAGCAGAATCTTGTGCGGCAGCTCACTTCCACACACCTGCATCCAGCCTCAGCATCCCCCTTCCCGGCAGATTTCCCCAGGGAGAGCTGGAGGCCGGGAAGGGGCAGAGCTGGAGGAGAGCGAGAGGGTTCCTAGAACCGTGTCCACTGCCGTAAAGCTGGGGTGACCTGAACCCCATCACTTCCTACGTTTACTTTTACTTAATTGCAAAACAGTAAACATGCTAAGCGTGACCTAATTGTGGTGACTAACGTCATTATTTTAAGACTAAAACAAACAAACAAATTTCTCTGGGTAATGGCATAAATAGACACAAGGAAGTGAGCAGGTGTCCGGAGACAGCCGGCAGGTATATAAAGGCTCCCGGCCCAGGAGGCCCCACACCTGAGCACCTGTCCTCTGCACCTGCTCCTCTGACCAGCTCCAACCTCAACCCACCAGAATCATGGGCTGCTGTGGCTGTTCCGGGGGCTGTGGCTCCGGCTGTGGGGGCTGCAGCTCTGGCTGTGGGGGCTGCGGCTCCGGCTGTGGGGGCTGCAGCTCTGGCTGTGGGGGCTGCGGCTCCGGCTGTGGGGGCTGTGGCTCCGGCTGCTGTGTCCCCGTCTGCTGCTGCAAGCCCGTGTGCTGCTGTGTGCCAGCCTGTTCCTGCTCCAGTTGTGGCTCCTGTGGGGGCTCCAAGGGAGGCTGTGGCTCCTGTGGGGGCTCCAAGGGAGGCTGTGGCTCCTGTGGGGGTTACAAGGGGGGCTGTGGCTCCTGTGGGGGCTCCAAGGGGGGCTGTGGCTCCGGTGGGGGCTCCAAGGGGGGCTGTGGCTCCTGTGGCTCGTGTGGCTGCTCCCAGTCCTGCTGCTGTGTCCCCTGCTGCTCCCAGTCCTGCTGCTGTAAGCCCTGCTGCTCCCAGTCCAGCTGCTGTGTCCCCTGCTGCTCCCAGTCCAGCTGCTGTGTCCCCGTTTGCTGCCAGTGTAAGATCTGAGCTCTGACCAGAGACCCCCATAGCTGGGAGGTGTGAACCAGTGTATTCAAGTGTCCCCCACCTCCTTCTACCGGTTGGTCCCTATCTCGTGTGTAAAACCAAATGCCACAGCATCTCTAAATAAAGTCTTTCTCTAAACCCAGAGATCTGTCTTCTCGCTGCTATTTTATCCAAGCTAACACGCAGAGATAACCTCCCGTGTCCCAGGCGTGTCCAACCGGTCTCCCCTCACGTGCACGCAGGGGCCACGTTGGGGAGCGGGGTGGATGACACGTGGAGGATCCTCTCCAAAAATGAGCAGGAAAGGGCTAAGGGATGAAAAAATAAAAGGAAAAAGAAGTGATATGACTGGAAGTCCACCTCGTAAACGATGGGAATTTGAAACGGAGTGAAAATACTCCGGGGGAGAAAAAAATCATGGAGAGAAGTTCTCCCAGAGCTAAAGAAGGACTTTATTGAGAGAAAGAAACAAAGAGGGAGAGAGGAAGGAAGGAGGGAGGGAAGACCCTTTTGTTGAAAGGGCAGGAGAAGAAACATGCCACCCGCCGTGTGTCGATAGTGTGTGGACACAGCAGAGACGAAGCTGGGACGTCCCGGGAAGAGAGTCACTGTCAAGGTCCCGAGCGCCAGGCTGGCCCAAAGGAACGTTCAACAGAAAATATCATTTCCAGACAAAAATACTTGGAAACGTGAGTGGATAATAACGTGAGGGTGTCAAGAAACGTTCTCAGACAAACACGGAGTCTGGAGAATTATCCTACAAAACCGCTCTGCAAAAACACTAAATGATTAAAGGAAAATATCCAGTATAATAAAATGGGATGATCAAATATTTTTTCTTTACTAAACTCATTATCTTTAGGGGGAAAAAGGTAAGAACCAAATAAGAAAAATTATATTCTTGCATTTTCTGTGCAATAGTCACATGTGGGGATAAAAATGAGAGCTGGCAAACGCACGGGTTCTGTTACCTTGAAGACATAGACGCTGTTTTGTTTAAATTAAAAGTTAAGTGTAACCACCGTAAGAACAAAAACAATGTATACGTGCTAAGCCCGTAGCACCAGACTTGGTGTGTCCGCCCTCCGCGGTACTGAGTAAGAAGCAGGACATGGACACAGCCCAGCGGCAGACAGGACTGCGGCGGGCGGGAGCAGGTCCCCATCTGAGGAGCCACCCCAGGAGCGCGCATTAACCCGACGGAGGTAATGGCTGAAACGAAAGGATCCCGCGCTGGGCGATCTGTGAGAGCCGCGGCGGGCTTGACGGGCAGCAGCGGACCCGCGCGGCTCCTAGGACGGTCCGGGCAGTGGTCTCGGGAACAAGGCCCAAGCGGGGTTTCTGAGAGTTGGGGGGTCAGCACGCAGAGCACATGTCCTGCAACCCCGAGGCAGAAACGTGAGAAACCGAGTCACAAAAGCAGTAGCTAAATTACTCTGTTTGTAAGCTCGGGGTTAAAGAGGCGCTCACAGGCGGCAGTACGAAATCATTAAAAGTAACGTTGATAAAAGCAGCACACTTTAGAATGAACGGAATGCAGCACGCGGAGCCCGTCCTCACTGAGGAATGTACGATGTTAAGTAAATAAACGTGGCATCGAATAAATTCATCACGAGTCATGCGACGGGGGCTGCCTGCTCGGTCACTTTGCCGGATCCTAATTAGCTCGTTCGTGTGGCTCTATCAGAGGTTTACGTGTGCACATACACACGCATTCTGGACACAATCCCATATCGGCCCCACGATTCGCAAACGCTGCCTCCCAACCCGCGGCTTATCTTTTTCTTTCCTCAGTGGCGTCTTTGTAACCATAACAGAATTTGAACTTGTCCGTGTTTTCTGTTACAGATGACACTTTGGTGTTGTATCTGCGGAATCGCGCCCAGACGGGGGCTGCGAACGGCTTCCCCCGTGTCTCCTCCTGTCAGTCTTGCTTTCAGCCTTCACAGTTAGACCCGCCTGGCATTCACCTCCGTGGCCCGCCCGAGGGAGGGCTCCCAGCGCGCTCCTTTGCACCGGCACATCCAGATGCCTGCGCGGCGGAGGTGAAAAGGCAATTTTTTTCCCCGTCGAATTGCCTTTGCGCTTATGGCGAGCGCTCACGGGCAGTAAACGCGAGGGTAATTTCTGGATTCCCGGTGCCGCCACGCTCCTCCGGTGCGTCTACCAGCCACCGGCACGGCCGCGTCTCAGTGGCCGTGACCACACGGCCAGTTCCGAGACCGGGAAGGGAACGTCCCGCTCTCTTTGTTCTTCAGAATTATTTGTCTCCACGGGGTCTTCTGTTTCCCTATCAACACGAGGCTCGGTTTGGGAACGTTTGCACATAGGCCTGCTGGGACTGCGACAGGGCTTTGAACTTACGAGTCATTTCTGGGGTGAACTCCTGTTGCCCAGGAGCACAGCGTGCGTCCCATGTGCTGAGCCGTCCTTGTACCGCCGGCCACGCCAGGGAAGCCAGCACGTGGCCTGGCACCGACGATGCTGCTGGAATCCTTAAGTATTTTACTCTTTGTATCGCATCAAGGACGGAACCGGTTCCTTAATTTCATGTTCAGAGTGTTTGTTGCTAATGCAACGACATTCAGTGGCCCTCGGTCTGGGGACGCCGGCACCTGCCACCTTGCCGGCCTGGCGGGTCACCTGGGACAGGTGTGCACACGTGTGTCCAGCTGGGGGCTCTCCGCGGTTCAGGAATCTGTGGTTTGTCATCTTTCACGACTTTGGGGGAACCGTGGCCACTGTCCTCCCAGGCGCTGTCTTCCCCTCCGTGCTGCAGCTCGCACGGTCCTCTGCCGCGGGCTCCGGGGCACAGGCTCTCGCCCGCGTCCTGCTCTCGCCCACATCCTGCCCGAGCCGCTGGGGATTCCTGCATTGTTTCCACGCGACAGTTTCTGTGTGTTTTCATTTACCTGCTGGAATTCCTCCCCTGTGAGCGCGTGTGTCCTGCTTCCCCCACCCCGGGACCTGCCGCTGGCCGGTCCGTTATTGTTACGTCCCTGTGGGAGAGCCTCACTGTGTGCACATGCCCGGTGTGGCTGCCTGACGACAGGCTTCCCACCATCTGGGCATCTTTGGACCTGCCTCGCCGTCACTTTATAAGCCATCAGTGGCCTGTGATGCACGGCAGAGACCAGGGCGCCCGCGGTCCAGAGCAAGGCTGTGTGGCCTGCGGCAGGGCCTCGGGGTGGGGGGCCGTGTCTGGCTGCACGGCTCCCGCGTCTGGGCTGCATCTCTGGTAGCGGTCACGGCCTTGGGCTTCTGCGTGGGGCCTGGGCACCAGCCGGGGCTCCTCAGTGTCCACCACCCCCATCAGCGAGCCTGCCACTCCCAGGCCATGGAGTGGGGTGGCCTCCAGTTCCTCGCTGGTCATTCACTCATTCACGCAACGGATTATTTATTGAGCATCTATTACGTCTGGGCCCCGAGCTGAATATGAGTTATTCCAGGAAGATAGACAGAAAACAACCAGCTTGGGTAATCCCAAAACGTCTCGAACCATTGATCTGTGAGTGTCTCGATCCTCAGCTGCAGAGGCTTCTAAGTTCGACAAAGTTCCACGTCCAAACACTCCGAGCTCAATGTTCGGTTTTTAGGAGAAAGGGGGAAGCCTGACTGGTTGCCGATATCTTTGTCTTCTGAGAGATGTCCACCAGAGATGGCCGCTGGCCCTCAGATAAACGGGAAACGTTTGAAGAAAGCAGCTTCTATTATTTTTTTTGCCGCCACAGCACGGGGACAGGACGGAGGGTGACCGGGCGCGGAACGTCTAAGGGCAGGGACGCTACGGTGAGCAAACACCCCGTGTGGCACTCGACACCACAAACCAACAGACTTTTGTGTGCCGTGTCTAGAAAACGTGTGGCTTTACCCATTCATAAGCTATAGGGAATTCCCAAGAGAAAAACTAAAATAGATGAAAAAAATTAATTAAAAAAACAGTCTTGGGAGTCGACTTGCCCCAAATCTAAATAAAGGGTGAGAGATCCTCTGTTTTATGCTTGGAAAGACTTTGCACTTGAGTTCTGCAAGTGGGAATCTACAAGTTTCATTCCATCCCACTTAAACGATAATTTCCATGTGACCAGGTTTCCCTCAGAGTCTCAGCGAAGAGTGTGTCCACGGAGAAGCCTGGGCGGTTTGGAAAGCAACATGAAAAGAAAGAATAACAAGAATAATTTTCCAAACAGACACGAGCGTGAAGGACGGCAGCCCAGGGTCAGGCAGCGAGCGTGCCGCCTCAGGGCCCGAGGCAAGCGCGGTGGTGCAGAACCCGGGGGTGGGTGGACGGATGGACGGACAGAGCAGCGCTCCAGGTGCAGGATAGCCCGTGGCCGCGACGGCAAGGCCATCGCCGTGATCACTAACTCTCCGGGGGCAAGATGTCTGGGTCCCGACCGACACACGCAGGAAGCTGAAGGCAGCCGGCACCTGTACAGACACACTAACTACGACATTCCCTGCGGGACACGGGAGGGGTCGGCAAGACAGGCCCGGATGCCGGGGTCCGCGGGCTCAGCTCTGCCTCCCTGCACGTCTCTCGGCCGCGGCCCCCGCAGACCAGAAGAAAACATTTCTGGCGTGAAAATGTTGATATCCCCGATCGCCACATTGGCTGCGTAAATCCCTAAATCAGAGACCGGTGCTGCACAGAAAACATGCTGAGCACGGAGGAGCGGGTCTCCGGGGACAGCGCGGGCGACACCGTGTGCCTCATTACGCTGCTGAGCGTAGGAAAGGGTTGTCAGGATTTTTCCTACCTTGATCCGTGCAGAATTAAACCAGTTCCATCAAAGCACAGGGAAAATCTTTTTGTGGAAAGAGAAAAACGGATTCTAAAATTCATAGAAGACCAAAAAGCTAGGTTAACTCAACTTTTTTTTGAAAGGAGACTCAGGTGGAAGGAAGGAGCAGCGTGCTGAGCTCCAGAGCTCTGGGAAGCGGCAGCGACCGCGTACGTCGCGGAGAGGCAGGATGGAGGCCGCACATGGACCCGCAGGCGAGGCCGACCGTGTGGCGCACAGCTGGACGGCGACGGAGGAAGGATGGGCTTTTCGGCAAATGGTGCTGCCGTAACTGGACGTCCGTGGAGGGGAGGAAAAGACCCCTGACCCAAACCTCACACCATGTTATAAAAAAAAGTGAACTCAAAGTGGATCATAAATTTAAACACAAAATAAAAAGCTTTAAAAAAAAATAGGAGAAAATCTTCAGGACCCGGCCCTGGGCAGAGCTCTTAAACGTAACCCCAAAAGCACGATCCATTACAGTTTTTTTTAAATCCGTGAGTTAGACTTAGTCAGAATTAAGAACTTTTGTTCTGCAGAAAGAACACTGTTAACTGCACCGGAATGAAAACAGAGAGAGAACTTTTGTCCCGTCGGAGCCCCCGCGCACAGCCCGCGACCGGGAGAAAGTACTCTGGGGCCACACCTGCGACCACGGACGCGCACCCGCGACACAGAAAGGACGCTCAAGCGTGGACAGGAACAAGATGGGACGAGGATGGAGGCGGGAGACATACCATCGAGGGGGTGGGAGGGCGAGTAGACACACGGACGTGCACGACACCGGCAGCCGGGGGACGGGCGGGTCCGGCAGCACCACAAGTCGCCCCGATCAGCCGTCAGAGCCGCTCAGAGACGGAGTCGGGACATCGGCCCGCGCCGCCACCGGCAGCCGGGGGATCGCGACCACAGGCAGCTGCTGGGAGGCGACCGCCACTCTCAGGGTAGTTTGACAGTTTCTTAAAAAACGGACCCTCACTCACCCCAAGGCCAGGCAGTTCTGCTCCCAGACACGTACCCCGAGACACGAGCACCCGAGCTCGCAAACAGGAAACCGCCCACGACCGCTCATCATAGCTCCCGTATAGCCCAGCTGCAAACAAGCCTCCTGCACAGGTGACAGCTGGACACACGGTGCCCTGGAGACCGTGAGACACACCTGTCACACGTACCGGGGAGACACGCATGACGACCTCGAAGGACCTCACTGCATCTGCTCCGGGAAGTGAACCCCGACCTTGTGAGGCCGCAGGCCGTGTGGTTCTGCTTACGCCTCATTCTCAGGGTGATACCGTTTTAGCCACTGGAGGCAGGTCGCGGGTAGCAAGGGGACCGTGACGGTGGCAGGACGGACAGTCACGTCACTGAGCCGCCACGTGCCGCACGAGGCCGCGGCGAGGCCGGCATCCTGCCGGGACCTGGGTGGTAGCTGGCTGGGATGTCCCCTGGGGCGTGGCTGAACGGAATGTGGCTGTCCCTGTGTTGGAAATTCCGGTGAATCTCTAACTATTTCAAAATAAAGAGTTTTCTTCTAATGATGAGTATGAAGAGGAGAACATAGCACGATCTCCTTCCGGGGGAGAGAGAAGGAGCAGGAGCAACGGGCAGGTGAGAACTTAACCGACAACAAACCCCCAGGGAAGGTAACCCAGAGCCAGCGGCTGGGGCTGAGAGGACGTCCTAACGGTCCCGCCGTTTCAGTCAAACAGACGACATGGACAACCTGCCATGTGCGATGGGCACCAAACGGGGCTGACACGAACTCTGCAGCATTCGCTGACTTCCCATTTGCGGCTGCGTCCTGCTCAGCGGCCTGCCCTGCGCAGAGGGGCCCGGGGTCCCTCAGGAGCCAGGACCAGGTGGGGGACACGGCCAGGCTACAGGGAAACCGACCACCCGCCGCGGCTGCCCAGGCCCCAGACACTGTCCTTGGTGCTGCCACACAGCGGGAGGCCGTCTCGGCCCGTCCCCAGATGCCCACCTCCGACAGCAGGGCCCCCCGCACCCCTCCCCTGCGTCCTCGCAGCCGCCCCCCGCCCTCCTCGGAGCCCGGCCGAGGGGCGGCGCTCTCGGTGAAGCCGCCTGCAGCAGCCCCGGCCTCGGCCCTCGCGGGGCCCCGGTCCCCGCAGATCCCTCTCCCCGGAGATAAGCTCCCCGCTCGGCCCGAGGTGGGTGGAAAGTCAGAATTGCTTCCTTAATTGGTATTTTCCAGTTGAGAGAACATCCTATGCTTTTTTCACTTGTGTCATTGAATTACCAAATGTTTTCGTTTTTGAGAAGACCTGAAATTGCGGAGATCTGGGGGATTTAGGGAGGAATGCAAGACCAATTTTGCCTAATTACGACATGTCTCGGCGGTCACTCTGACGTGTCCCAGAGTAGGCGATGCAGACCGCCGGGCCTCCCCGGGGGTGGGGGGCCCGGGCTCTGGCACAGATGCTTACCTGACGTCCCGGGCCCGAATCTGGTTTACATCGAGAAATCAGACTGTTTACAGGACACCGCGTCTGTCTCTCCCTCTCCTTCCCTTTCATTTGGGGTAACGTTCTGCAGGTCTGCGGGGTCCCCGGGGACCGTCTGCGCCATCACGCGAGGCTCGCCATCTCCGAAAAAGGCCCCATCTGGGGGACGCATCAGCCCCTGGCCCGGCCACCCGGGTGGTCAGCCGCAGCCCAGGCCGGCCGTGCAGGTGGGAGACAAGCCAGCCGGCCGTAGCCCGGGGAGCAGGCCCCAGGAGGAGGCCGGGAGGCCTTCGCCAGCCCCCGTGACCGGCGTCGTGGCAGGACGCTGGCCACGACGGCCAAAGCCTCTGGGGCGTCCTGAGAGCAGAGGCTGCGGGACCCAGGGCTGTCCACAGACTGAGCGAGGGCCCCGTGCACTGAGGACCCGGGGTCCACACCGGTGACAGCGACCGCAGGGCCGTGT